TCTGAGGGCCTATCACTAAGGCTGTTATCGTTTTTGGCTTGCCCGTCTCAGGGAGGATGAGGAGGAGGAGGAGGAGGAGGAGGAGGAGGAGGAGGAGGGCTCTCCTGCTCCTTCGATCTGGCCTCTCCTGCCGCCGAGGCCCTTCGGCCGCCGTGCCGGGGCGCTCCTGCGGGAGGGGGCGCCGCGGGCCCCCCAGGGGTGCCGCCTGCCCCCCGCGCCCGTGAGGGGCTGCGCGGCACCGCGGTGCCAGTCTGGAGTCGGGCCTGTCCCACGACAGGAGGAATACTCCAAGCTCTTAAGAGATCGGGGTTGGACAGAACCCCCACCAGTGACCCGTCGATGAGTGATTTGTCCGTTTTCGGTTCTCGAGAGGGCGCCGTGGCCGTTATTTTCCATGCTTGCGCCCGCCAGGTTTGGGCCTCGGGTCGTTTTCACTAAACCACGTTTTACTAAAGGGAGGTCTGTCCATCCCCGAAAATAGTCTGGGGCATTTTTTTTGTTTTTGATTTTGACTATTTCATATGTTTCGTCCAAGATTCCCCTGTAGGAGGGCATGCCCAACCCAAATGCCAGTCTTGGGGGGGGGGGCGCTTCTTCTACCAGGCTGGAACACATCCCTATCCTTACGGTCGGCGTCAGCTTCTCTCGATGCCGATCTGAAGGAGCACCTCCGTTTCTGAGGGCACGTCTCTGGAATTGCCACCACCCTTAGGCCTGTCAGTCTCGAGGACAGGGACGGGCGCGAGGCTGGTGGGCCCAGCGCCGATGCAAGAAGTCCGCGCGGAGCTCCGGCAGGTGCTTCTTTGCGCTTGCATGTTCCATCCTCTGTCATAGTTAGAACAACAGTCACGATAATGTCACAGGAGGAATACCCAGCAATAGTTAACATCATATAGTCTGGGGACGGTCGGTCGACCGTTTTTCGATGTTTTTTGATCTCGGCTGAGTAACTTTTCTCACTCTCGTCCAACATCCGCCTGTAGGAGGACATGCCCCACCTGACTCTGCTCCCTCCGGAGTGGTTGGCTGGCCCTCTGCGGGTCCGGTGGAGGGAGGGAGCGAGGGGGAAGGGAAGGAGGGAGGGGAGGGAGGGAGGGAGCGAGGGGGAGGGAAGGAGGGAGGGAAGGAGGGAAGGGGGGGGGGGAAGGGAAGGAGGGAGCGAGGGAAGGAGGGAGGGGAGGGAGGGAGGGAGAAGGGACGGAGGCACGGAGATCGGAGTAGGGAGGGGGAAGGAGGGAGGGAGGGCATGCGGGAGGACATGCCTGTAGGATGCAGCCTCCGGGCCCGCGGCTTCCCGGAGATCCCAGTTTGCACCCTCGCCCGGCTACGTTCTCGCCTTGCCCCCCGTGCTTCAGGCCCAGCCCGGCTCGGTTCACAGCTGGCGTCCCTCCAAGGCTCGGGGACTGATGTCGGGGGCGGCAAAGAGGGGGGTGATGATTAGGGGAGGGTGGATACCATGGCGGGGGGCATGGTATTTTCCCCAGGTCTCATGGCGCCTCTTCTCATTGCATTACGTCCCTGACCCCCCCCCCGCCGGGCCGCGCACATGCCGCCGGTCATGCTCTGCCCCCCCCCCCCCCTCTTGGACACCCCCCCTCTTGGCCGCTCCCGATGATGCATCCGCACCGCCTGGGAGATCGATCTTCGTGGACCTTGGCAATCGGTGGATGTGTGATATCTCCCCCTCACGGTGCTGGCACTTCGGGGGGGGCTACCTTGCTTTAATTAAGCGCTGGGCCCTTTGCGGGTCTGGTGGAGGGAGGGAGCGAGGGGGAAGGGAAGGAGGGAGGGGAGGGAGGGAGGGAGCGAGGGGGGGAGGGAAGGAGGGAGGGAAGGAGGGAAGGGGGGGGGGGAAGGGAAGGAGGGAGCGAGGGAAGGAGGGAGGGGAGGGAGGGGAAGGGAGAGGCACGGGACGGAGGGAGGGAGGGCATGCGGGAGGACATGCCTGTAGGATGCAGCCTCCGGGCCCGCGGCTTCCCGGAGATCCCAGTTTGCACCCTCGCCCGGCTACGTTCTCGCCTTGCCCCCCGTGCTTCAGGCCCAGCCCGGCTCGGTTCACAGCTGGCGTCCCTCCAAGGCTCGGGGACTGATGTCGGGGGCGGCAAAGAGGGGGGTGATGATTAGGGGGGAGGGTGGATACCATGGCGGGGGGCATGGTATTTTCCCCAGGTCTCATGGCGCCTCTTCTCATTGCATTACGTCCCTGACCCCCCCCCGCCGGGCCGCGCACATGCCGCCGGTCATGCTCTGACGGCGCCCCCCCTCTTGGACACCCCCCCTCTTGGCCGCTCCCGATGATGCATCCGCACCGCCTGGGAGATCGATCTTCGTGGACCTTGGCAATCGGTGGATGTGTGATATCTCCCCCTCACGGTGCTGGCACTTCGGGGGGGGCTACCTTGCTTTAATTAAGCGCTGGGCCCTTTGCGGGTCTGGTGGAGGGAGGGAGCGAGGGGGAAGGGAAGGAGGGAGGGGAGGGAGGGAGGGAGCGAGGGGGGGAGGGAAGGAGGGAGGGAAGGAGGGACGGAGGGGGAAGGGAAGGAGGGAGCGAGGGAAGGAGGGAGGGGAGGGAGGGAGGGAGAAGGGACGGAGGCACGGAGAGATCGGAGTAGGCAGGGGGAAGGAGGAGGGAGGGCATGCGGGAGGACATGCCTGTAGGATGCACCTCCGGGCCCTCGGCTTCCCGGAGATCCCAGTTTGCACCCTCGCCCGGCTACGTTTTCTGCCTTGCCCCCCGTGCTTCAGGCCCGCCCGCTCGGTTCACAGCTTGGCGTCCCGCCAGGCCGGCTCGGAGAATGTCGGGGCGGCAAAGAGGGGTGGTGAGGACTAGGGAGGGTGGATACCATGGCGGGGGTCATGGTATTTTCCCCGGTCCTCATGGCGCCTCTTCTCATTGCATTACGTCCCTGACCCCCCCCCGCCGGGCCGCGCACATGCCGCCGGTCATGCTCTGCCCCCCCCCCCCCCTCTTGGACACCCCCCCTCTTGGCCGCTCCCGATGATGCATCCGCACCGCCTGGGAGATCGATCTTCGTGGACCTTGGCAATCGGTGGATGTGTGATATCTCCCCTCACGGTGGCTGGCACTTCTGGCGGGGTCTACCTTGCTTTAATTAAGCGCTGGCCCCCTTTGCGGGTGCGGTGTAGGGAGGGAGGCGAGGGGTAAGGGAAGAGGGAGGGAGGGAGGGCGGGAGCGAGGGGGGGAGGGAAGGAGGGAGGGAAGGAGGACGGAGGGGGAGGGAAGGAGGAGCGAGGGGGAAGGAGGGAGGGGAGGAGGGAGGGAGAAGGGACGGAGGCACGGAGATCGGAGTAGGGAGGGGGAAGGATGGAGGGAGGGCATCGGATGACAATGCCTCGCGGTGCAGCCTCCGGGCCCGCGGCTTCCCGGAGATCCAGTTTGCACCCTCGCCGGCTACGTTCTCGGAGGGCCCCCGCGTGCTTTCAGGGCCCCCCCCGCCCGGCTCGGTTCACAGCTGGCGTCCCTCCAAGGCCTCGGGGACTGATGTCGGGGCGGCCAAGGAGGGGGGTGAAGATTAAGGAGGTGATGACCATGGCGGGGGGCATGGTATTTTCCCAGGTCTCATGCGCCTCTTCTCATTGCATTACGTCCCTGACCCCCCCCCGCCGGGCCGCGCACATGCCGCCGGTCATGCTCTGCCCCCCCCCCCCCCCTCTTGGACACCCCCCCTCTTGGCCGCTCCCGATGATGCATCCGCACCGCCTGGGAGATCGATCTTCGTGGACCTTGGCAATCGGTGGATGTGTGATATCTCCCCCTCACGGTGCTGGCACTTCGGGGGGGGCTACCTTGCTTTAATTAAGCGCTGGGCCCTTTGCGGGTCTGGTGGAGGGAGGGAGCGAGGGGGAAGGGAAGGAGGGAGGGGAGGGAGGGAGGGAGCGAGGGGGGGAGGGAAGGAGGGAGGGAAGGAGGGACGGAGGGGGAAGGGAAGGAGGGAGCGAGGGGGAAGGAGGGAGGGGAGGGAGGGAGGGAGAAGGGACGGAGGCACGGAGATCGGAGTAGGGAGGGGGAAGGAGGGAGGGAGGGCATGCGGGAGGACATGCCTGTAGGATGCAGCCTCCGGGCCCGCGGCTTCCCGGAGATCCCAGTTTGCACCCTCGCCCGGCTACGTTCTCGCCTTGCCCCCCGTGCTTCAGGCCCAGCCCGGCTCGGTTCACAGCTGGCGTCCCTCCAAGGCTCGGGGACTGATGTCGGGGGCGGCAAAGAGGGGGGTGATGATTAGGGGAGGGTGGATACCATGGCGGGGGGCATGGTATTTTCCCCAGGTCTCATGGCGCCTCTTCTCATTGCATTACGTCCCTGACCCCCCCCCGCCGGGCCGCGCACATGCCGCCGGTCATGCTCTGCCCCCCCCCCCCCCCTCTTGGACACCCCCCCTCTTGGCCGCTCCCGATGATGCATCGCACCGCCTGGGAGATCGATCTTCGTGACCTTGTCAATCGTTTGGATTGTGTGATATCTCCCCTCACGGTGCTGGCACTTCGGGGGGGCTACCCCAAAAAAAAAAAAAAAAGAAAAAAAAAAAAACAAAAAAAAAAAACAGAAAAAAAAAAAAAAAAAAAAAAAAAAAAAAAACGGGGGGGGGGGGGGGCCCACTTTGCGGGTCTGGTGGAGGGAGGGAGCGAGGGGGAAGGGAAGGAGGGAGGGGAGGGAGGGAGGGAGCGAGGGGGGGAGGGAAGGAGGGAGGGAAGGAGGGACGGAGGGGGAAGGGAAGGAGGGAGCGAGGGGGAAGGAGGGAGGGGAGGGAGGGAGGGAGAAGGGACGGAGGCACGGAGGCACGGCGGAGGGACGGGGAGAAGTGTGTCGGGTCCGGCGCCTTGTTGTCGCCGTCGCCGCCCCGTGGCCGCCCTTCGCCGCCCGTCGTCTGACCGGGTCCGCCGCCTTGTTGTCGCCGTCGCAGCCCCGTGGCCGCTTCGTCGCCGCCCACAGCTTAGAGTGTCCCACCCTAGATTGCACAACAGAAGCTGCACACCACGGATTTGCACTGCACGCGTTGCTCCACAGCGATGGAACCGCATGCACCACATGCATTGTCCGCTCTCTGAAGGAATCAGGATCTATCACCTCCCCCCAGAATTTCCCGCTCCCCCTGAGGATGTGCAATTTACGTCTGATAATGCCCCATCGTTCATTCTAAATGTGAATACGTTCCATCCCTGCTAGGCTAGGTTCCCACCCCACCATCCTCGTCAAAGCATACTGTGCGCGCGCACTCGCTTACCAACCACCATCCGTTTGCAATCATCCGTGGCGTAATACGGGACGAACTGTGCACTCGCGTCGTCACGCGCGCGCATTCCGAAGTCATTGGAACAACTTTGGTTTCGTACGGATTTGAACATCGGGTGTTCCGAAGACATGTGAAAACAAAAGTATTGTTTGGTGTTGGTTTTCGTACGGAATCTAAAAATCGAGTGTTCCGATAACATTTGAAAACACATTGTTTGGTATTATGGTGTTTGAATAAAGGTCTGCGCGCGCATGTCGAAATCATTCGAACGCCCATGCGCGCGTGCTGGGCGGGGGGGCACGATCCCTGTCAAATAATACCATGTGGGCCACTCGCGCCCGTTGGCCGCGCGCGCATGTCGAAATCTTACCGAAATCTTTACCGCCGACAATTGGGCACCATCATCGTCATCGGCGTGATTAGCATCGGCGCCGTCTTTGGCCTCGATGTCGTCATCGTCATCGTCGTCACCAGCATTGCTACCATCATCATCGTGTCTGCCTTTGTAGGCGTCGCCACGATACAGCGCCCGCCCGAGTCACCGACTCGCACTGAAGTGCCCGCGCGTCAGCGCGGACTGCGAGACGTGAAAGGAAGTCCCCAGCGGTCAGCGCCACCGCGACCGCGCCGGCTGCGCCAGACTGCACTTGGCCGCTCTGCGCGCAAGATTGCCCGCGCCAGCGCGGCCGCGGCAACAGCACCCGTTGCTAGAAATTCGCTGTTCGGGGTCCACGCTGGCCAACATACGGATAAGTTTGTGCGCATACATTTTTTTCAATATATATATATATATATATATATACAGACATGGCCATTGTGTGTATACACACATATATATACACATATGGCAATTATGTTTACGTCCACCGCCCCACCAGCCACCAGGTCCCTGGACGAGGGCTATCCCCAGGCGGTCCATCGAAATCGGCATCCCCGCCTCGCATTTCCCCGCGGCGACGGCGACGGCGACGGCGGCGATGACGACGACGACGACGACGACGACGACGACGACGACGACGACGACGACGACGACGACGACGACGACGACGACGACGACGACGACGGCGGCGACGGCGACGGCGGCGGCGGCGACGGCGGCGGCGGCGGCGGCGACGGCGCGGCGCGGCGCGGGGAGGCCAGCCTCGCGGCCGCGACCGACGCGCCCGCGGCGCTGGACGCCATCCTCAAGGACTGCCCGGCGGGCCGCGGCTCCTCACCGCTGGGGCCCACCGCGGCCGCGCTGCCCGCGCCGCCCGCATCGGAAGCGGTGCCGGAGGTCCCAGACGTCCAGCGTCTTGAACACAATCAAGACCAAGGGTCTCTGGCTATCAGGTTTCGGAGGGTCTTCGGATGTTTTCGTGGGTCCTCGGCGGTTTTCCAGCCTCGGGGTGCGTTCCAGCATCTGCGGCTCGCCCAGGGGCTTTCGGGGATGCACGGGCCGTCCCGAGGTATGATCAGAAAACCACCTAGGTCTGGGCTCAGGGGGAGGACGTCCCCACACATGCGCCCGTCGTAACGAGCATCACGGTGGGAGGTCTCTGTGCCGTTTCCGGCGTCTGGAGGGTCTCGTTGGGTCCTGGGACCGTTGAAAAACGATTCGGGTCGGGACATCCGAGGATTCCACAACCTCATGCCCGTGAGAATAAACACTAGGGGATAATAAAGTTCGGGGTTCAGGGAGAGATAATAAAAGTAGCCCAGCAGACCTCAGCATAATCTCGAAGTAAGAGATGATCCAGAGGAGACCAAGCCGAGCACGTTTTGAGACATCCTTGGCGTTTAGTTTTCATAGAAATATCCTCAACAATGGCTTATCTCTCATGAAAATTGTTTTTTTGTAAGTGCTCGTGTAGGGTAGCTCATGTGCCTCAATTTCCATGGATAATCAACCCCAGAGATAAAAAAGTTCAGGCGAGCGTGGGGACAGAGAGAAATATAAAAGAATAATAATACAGTAGAAGAATAATAAGAAAGAAGAAGAAGAGGATAATAAGAAGAGGACGAAGAAAGGAAAAATCCAAAGTTCCAAATCTATCAATTTTAATTTACAAACGCTTTATGAAATTGATTTTTTTTAAGTGCTCGTGTAGGGTAGCTCATGTGCTTCATTTTCCATGGATAATCAACCCCAGGGATAAAAAAGTTCAGGCGAGCGTGAGGACAGATAGAAATATAAAAGAAGAAGAGGAAAGTAGAAGAATAATAAGAACATTGCTCGTTTCGTTTGAGTCTGCCTCCCAAAATTATTGGTTTCGCTTGACACATCCTGAAAAAGTGTGATCGCTTCGCTTGATGTTGCTATATCAACATCGCTTGATGTTGCTATCTCAACATAGCGTTTCGAGGTGATGATGAAGTTCGGCCTCAGCGCTCGCCGCCCAATTTGAATTTTGTATAGGGCGACGATAATCAACTCTAAACACTGAAGGGGGGGGGTCCCTTTATTATCATCGGCATGCGGTTATTCAAACATTGGATGTCTGGATTTTGGGAAGGAGGCCCCGAGGCCGCGCCCAGGAGCCCAGGAGTTCGGGCATTTCTGATCCGACCTTCCCAGGACCTTGACGAGACCTTGCCATGGTACTTTTCGTCCGCGGACCCCCAGGGGCCGCCACGCGCGCACAAAGTAGAGACATCGTTGAAATCTGATTGGCAATTCTAGCGTGCCTCTGGCCCGTCGGCCCAGCGAACTCGTGCCCTCGCCTTCCCCATTCCTTCCGCCTCCCTCCCCTCTCTTCCCCTTCCATCCCCCGCGTGAAGGGAAGAGTTGTCGGGTTGGTGGGGGAAGACGAGGGCATGGCAGCCAAAGTACCTTGAAATACCGATGACCCACCCGAAGTCTGAGCCATGCGTCCAAGTGTCTAATTGTTCCTCCTCCTCCTCCTTCAAGGCTTCTTTGCCAGCAGGCACGCTCTATTGGTGGCGGGGAGGGGAGCGCCCCGCAAGTCTGTACTTTGCAGTGAAATTTGGAGAGCCGGGGGTCCCTCCCAGCAGTGAGGCAGCGGAGACTGACGAGAGACCGAACCCGGCAGCGCTGCCACTCCGATCAGCATGTTTCTGACCAGCTGTAGCTCGGTGTTCAGGACCAACGAACGGGGTTTCGGGTTCGGGTAAGTCTTTTTCGCACTTGCCAGTAAACCAAGAAACATGGAGGATGGGCTCGCGGCTTGGCGGAGGGAAGTTTTGCCAGGCGCTTCTCTCACGCCTTTCTTGCTATCAGGAATCTGAGCCCCTGGGGTCGGTCTTTGGGTTACCCTGACCAAGGCGGTTCCCGTGGGTCTCGCGCTCTGATGCCCTCCCCCTGTTGCGCGCCCGCTGCTATCCTCTATCACGCGCTTGGGCCCCGCAGGATAGCGACGACTACCTGGTCTGCTGGACACGGTGTCTCACTTCTCGGCGGCGAGCCCGGGGGGGATGGGAGACGGGGCAGGCCTTCTCAGGGGGCTCGGAAGTCCCCTGGCCCTCCGAGAAGTGTTCTGAGCCTTCCCCGAAGGACCGAAGACACGGAAAACCTCTCAGATGGCCGGAGGCCTTCCGAGAAGTATCTCCTCCTTCTGAGAAGGCCTTCTCTTGCTCACTTCCCCCCCATCGCTCGCCGCCGAGCCTCGGCCTATCTGAAGACGCACGAGGCGAGCCGCCTGCGCTGCCCGCATGGATCCCCCGCCTCCGCCGCCGCGGCAGGAGCCACGTCAGGCGGCCGCGCCAGGCCTTGGCCCGCCGCAGCCAGCTGTTTCGAGCCCTCGGGCGGTCCTCCTCCTCATCCTCCTCCTTCTTCTCCTCCTCCTGCCCCCTCCTCCTTTTTCTATTTTTTCTTCTCCTTCTCCTCCTCCTCCTCCTCCTCCTCCTCCTCCTCCTCCTCCTCCTCCTCCTCCTCCTCCCCTTGTCGCGGCTGGATCCGCCTCGAGAGCCTGGCGAGAGCGCACCCCTGGACAGGTCCGGGGATCGATGCGCCGCGGTTTTGGGCCCAGCGTTGGCTCGGCGCGGGAGATTCGGTACGCCGCTGGTGCCAGGTCGGCGCTTCGGCTCGTCGTGTGCTGCACGTGTGGCGCGTGTCAGGCACCCCTGCTGCCGCACCCCGTTCGAGGCTTCGAGGCTCAGGGGGAAGGAGCAGTTGCACAGCTGGTTTCGCGGCATTGCCATGGTGTCTCGTATGGCAGCGCCTTGATTTCCATTGAGGCATGATTTTGATGCAAACAACATGCCAGGTCAGCTCGACGGCCACATCGTATTGGCTCAGAATGGTGTGGCTGTCGAGGTGGCGGTGTCGTTTCTGGTCCAGGCGGGTGCCCTCAAGGCGGGTTTAGTCGGACACGTGCGCGCATCCTCGCCTTAGGCGGTCATGACATTCTTGGCTGGGTTTGATTCTGTCGCCTCGGGACTGACCATCATCCTGGCCTGCCGTCCTTGACGACATCAGTCTGCTCGCGTCCAGCGCCGTCATGCGCTTGCGTTCCTTGGTCGTCGGGCACGGCGCATGGTGTAGGGCGTGGAGACGGCGCGGACGAGCAGTCGGCGGCTGCATGCGAGTGTGATTCCCGTCGGTTTGTCGGCCACATGCCGGAGTTCCCGCCTCCGTGCCGCCGTCGTCCTCCCGCTCCCCCCTGCGCGTGGGTGCTCTGCACGAGTCGACGCGCCGTCGTCCCCGCCGTCCCCCCCCTCCTCTCAGGCTCGCCTTCTGTCGGGCGTGTCCCCCTACAGGGGGACTTTCGACGAGAAAGAAAGAAAGAATACCCCCAAAATACCCCAGCACAGCACAGCACAGCACAGCACACCTCCCCCCTCCCCAGCACAGCACAGCACAACACAGCACAGCACAGCACAGCACAGCACAGCTCACCGCACAGCAGCACAGCACAGCACAGCACAGCATAGCACACAGGGCATTCCTTCGACGCCACAGGGGGTGCGCTTGGGGTGGGGGCCCTATGCGCTGCAGGCCCCCAGGGCGTGGCAGGCGTGGCATTTCCTGGGCGCCACAGGGGGTGTGCTTGGGGTGGGGGCCCTATGCGCTGCAGGCCCCCAGGGCGTGGCAGGCGTGGCATTTCCTGGGCGCCACAGGGGGTGCGCTGGGGGTGGGGGCCTTATGCGCTGCGGGCTCCCAGGGCGTGGCAGGCGTGGCATTTCCTCGACGCCGCAGGGGGTGCGCTGGGGGTGGGGGCCCTATGCGCTGCAGGCTCCCAGGGCGTGGCAGGCGTGGCATTTCCTCGCCGCCACAGGGGGTGCGCTGGGGGTGGGGGCCCTATGCGCTGCAGGCTCCCAGGGCGTGGCAGGCATGGCATTTCCTCGACACCACAGGGGCTGCGCTGGGGATGGGAGCCCGTATCTTGCCAAGAACTGTAAACACCTTGGCTCACGCCGGCTCGGCGCGCCTGCGCTCTCACGCAGGCGCGCTCCTGTAGTCCTACTTCAGAGCACCGCCTGACCTGCGCGGCAGCCATGCCTCCCAAAATCGCCGAGGACGCGCTGCCACCTCCATGTTTGGCGATGAAGACTGCAATGGTTCAGATGGGCGGCGAGGTTAGCGTGGAGACCTCCCGCAGATGCGCCAACTAGAACGAATGATCTGGCTGGTCTGGTCGGTCTGGCTGGTCTGGCTGATGTGGCTGGTCTGGTCAGCCTCTCGTCAGGATGGCGAAGCGAGATGTGACATGGTTTGTGAACACACGTGACATATAATAAGTATGTGGGGTTCCTCGGTAGCGTAATTTTATTCTGTTGGGGTATCTTTTATTTTTCGTCGAAGCTCCCCCTGTAGGGGGACAGGCCCGCTTTCAGGCTCGCCGGGGAGGGCGGGCTCTGCCCGGGGCGGGCCCCCCGCGGGCTCGGCCTCCCTCTCGCGCGGGGGGGGGGGGGGGCGGGAGCCCGGAGGGGTGGCTTCGCCTCGGCCCTTCGTGCGACTTCGGGCGCCACGGGGCGTCCATCCTCCTGCCGCGGGATGCGATGGGGCATGTTCTAAGTCGGGCCTGTCCCCCTGCAGGGGGATTTTGGGGGAAAAAGAAAAATAGGAAAAAACAATGCCCCTTAAATGATCAACAAATATTCAAACAATTAGTCCCCCGACTATGTTTGGACTTGTTTTTGACAATTTTTGGGGTATTTCTTTGTTTTTCGTCGACAATCCCCCTGTAGGGGGACAGGCCCGACCTAAGGCATGCTCCATTCGCCGTTGCAGCCTCTTCGCGGGTTCCGGCGTGGCGATGCCAGCGCGGCAGTCGGGAGGAGCGAAGCCGCTGTCTGCGGATGGGGCGGCGCCTGGTGGGGCTGGGCCGGGCGGGGGGCGGGGAGCGGTGGCGGGCGGAGGGGCGGCGGGGAGGGGGGCCGAGGGGGCACGAGGGCGGAGGAGAGGGGGAGTGGAGGGGGAGGCATGGAAGGGGGGAGGGAAGGGGTGGGGGCGGGATGGGGCGGCGCCCGTTTGGGGCTGGGCCGGGCGGGGGGCGGGGGGCGGTGGCGGGCGGAGGGGCGGCGGTCAAACGACGCGAAGATCGGGGCAAAATCGGATCGGGACAACTCGAAATCTCTGGGAGTCGGCGGGTTTGGAGGATGTGTTGGGCGCCGCGACCGCTCCAGAGCGTTCCGGAACGCTCTGAGAGCGCTCCGGAACGCTCTGGAGCGATTTATCCCGATCTTAGCCTTGCTTTAGGCGGGGATTCGACTGCGCGTAGGAGTGACCTTGCGCCGGAGTGACCTTTGGTGCGGGCCCAGTGGGGGTCCCCGATCGCCCTTGCGCGATGCGATGGTTAACGCCTCGCGCGCCTGTGTTTGGTCCCCCCGGCGGCCCCCAAAACGCCGCGCACCAGAGGCCATTCTTACCCAGGGTCACTCCTGCGTGTAGCCGACGGATGGGGGCGAGGGGGCACGAGGGCGGAGAAGAGGGGGAGATGATGGGGGAGGCATGGAAGGGGGGAGGGAAGGGGGAGGGAGCCAGGGAAGGGGAGGGAACGGGGAAGGGGGGAGAGGGAAGGGGGCACGGGGAGGGGAACAAGCAATGGCATGCACATCAGATCTCGGAGGGGAGGCCCGCGCGGATGCCTCGGATCGGCGCTGAGGCCCCCCGGGCGGCGCCTCGGGCTCCGCGCGCCAGGGAGGGGAGTCCAGCGCCGATCCGAGAAATCCGCGCGGACCTCCGATCTTTGTATGTCGATGCCATTGCTTGCTTGTTTGTTTCATGGTGAGGGGGGGAAGGGTGTCGCCGCCTCGCCGCCGCGCCAGGCTGACTTTGTGGCCTTCCTGTCGTCGCACTCTTCCATCAGGGAGCGGCCTCGATGTTGTCCCCATCTTGCCAGCGACGCGAGAAGTGTGTGATGTTGGATTGGCGTGCGTGTTACATAGTGCAGCTGGTACGGTGTTGTGCATGTAGGTTGTGCATACGCTTGCTTGTATGTATGCGCGCACACGTTTACACATATGCATATATATATATATATATATATATATATGGACAGTTTTAACAACGTGATGCAGAGCCCTGTATGAGAGTGCCGCACGTTCGATATGTCAGTTCAAATCCTTTCGGTTTTCCGCTGACATATGTGCTCAAGTGCATTGAGGAAGGTCGCTCGATGAGCTTCAGCGAGTGGCTCACGACCGAAGCGGTCCGTGCCGCCACCACGAGCCTGGCGATCTGGGCTGCGAAGCCCGAGTGTCCTCCGTGCACCTGCAAGCCCTCGCTGGTGTGCGGCAGCGGGCTGGAACCTCACAGACAGGACTGCCCACCTCAGGTGGGGACCTGGCCGCTGTCAGCCGTCGTGCTGGCCGCGGTGCTGGGCCTGGCCGCAGGCGCGCTGCTGGGCCGCTGGTTCGCTCCGCCTGCTCCGGCGCGGGCTCTGGCGGCGATCGACCAGTTCGAGGAGGAGGCCCGGGCCCAGGCTGCTCTGGTTCGCGGGCGGCTGCAGGTCCAGTGAGGGCATGTCGGCGGCGGTCGCCGCGGCAGCGGGCCATCCCCTCGCCCTCCTCGGCCTGGACGAGGGAGATTTCATCTTGATCAGATACCAGGTCGGGGGGGCGAGGATCTGGCACGAGCGCCTCATCCTGGCCTTCCAGCCCGTCGCGCCTTTCGGATGCGGGATCCTGACCCCGGACGGCCACGGCTACGTCGAGGTCATCGCGAATGGAGGCGCGGACGTGGCAGAGTTCTGCATCCCGGCTGGAGGCGCCGCTGGAGGCAACTCGGCGGCGACTGGCGGGGATCAGGTCTACCGGTTCCGCGCCCTGCCTCTGCCGGCGGCCGTCGCGGCCGCGGCCACCGCCACCCGGGGCACTCTCGGGCTCGCTCCGGGTCCGGCCGTGGCCCTGAACACCGTGGGCCGGGTCATCGCGCCGCCGGCCCCCGCGCCTGCTGCTGTTGGCGCCCCTGCCGCCGCGGGCGGCCCGGCCGCTGGCGGCGTGGCGGGCCTCGCGGCGGCCCTGGGTGCGCCCGCTGCGGTCGGAGCCCCGGCCCCTGGAGCAGCGGCGGGCGCGCTCGTGCCGGCCGCAGCGCCCGCTGGGCCCGCGCCGGGAGGCGGGCTGGTGCCGGTGGCCGCAGCTCCCGCGGCTGGCGCTCTGTTGGCCGCTGGGCCCGTGGGCGTCCCCGCACCCGCGGCCGCCGCGCCCGCTGCCGCGGCCGTTGCGCCCGGATGGCCTGACCTAGGGGCAGGCGCCCTGGCGAATGCTTTCGCCGCGGTGGCGGCGGCCCCTGGCGGCGACGCGCGGATGCAGGCCATCGTCTTGGACTCCCAAGGGGTCCGCTACGTCGACTTCAGGACGGCCGTAATGAGGATGCACGAGTTACCTTGGCATGACTGGCCGCTCAAGGGCCCCAGAACGTTGTTGTGGGTGCTGAACTACATCTGCCGGAACGGTGGCACACCCCTCGGTCGCCACACCAAGTGGAAGGCCGAGGCCTACCTGGACGACGAGGACCCGGGGGTAGACGTGCACCTACTGTGCTGCAGGCTGTTGGAGTTCGGAGTCGTGTATGATCAGACTCATGCGACCAATCTAGCTTCTATGGAACTGGTCGGCCGCACGCTGCAGACCCAGGAGGAGCTGTACCGCGACAGGTTCACGCCCACGTCCGAGCACGGGAACGACGCCGCGCTGCTGTCCGGCGTCCAGGACGCGGGCAGCGGCATCTGCATGGCCCCGGCGCTGCGCGACTGGCTGGCCGCCGAGAAGTCGCGCGAGGCGGCGATTGCCAAAGAGCGGCGCAAGGCTCGCGAGGAGCGTGCCTTGGCCGCCGGGACCGGCGCGGCTGGCTCTGGCGGCGCCGAGGGGCGCGGAGGCCGTGGCCGCGGCGGCCGAGGCCGTGGGCGACGGGGCCGTGGGGGCGGCAATACCCCAGGCGCCGATGCCTGAGACGAGCCGAGGGGGGGCAGATGGGCCAGCCTCCCCTCGGGACTGCTGTGCGGCCCTCGCCGCAGGCCCCCGGCCGCCGGGGACACGCCGCCAGCGCGACGTCTTCCCGCTGCCGGTCGTGCCGGCCGCTGCTCCGCGCGGGATGGAGCCTGGCGGTCGTCGCGCTGCTCGTCGGCGCGGCCTTCGCATTCATCATGATGATCGCGTTCGAGCGGCCACCAATGCACTCAATTCACTTTATGGCTCTCGGTCCTCGCCTCCATCTGCAGCGCACGAGGGGCAGCGCCAGGCCATCATGCATATCGACAGTTGCGTCAAGGAGCTGGGCGCGCCGCCGCCCGAGTTCAGTGACACGCGTGCTGGTCAAGACGGGGCCCTCCGGGAGCTCCTCTCCTGCGCCAACCTGTACGGTTCGGGCGCCGCCTCGTCGTCCCCCTACGTCCGCGACCGTGTCGCATGGCCCGCTGAAGGTGCTGCGCCCGTCGAGCTCGTCGGGCTTGTGCAGCCCCATGACAAGGCCTGGCTGGAGGGATGGCAGAGCCATATGCTTCGAGATCGGCAGTCCGCCGAGGCCTTGGCACGTTCGGCCTGCCCACGCGGGCCGTACTGCGACCCGAACCTGTTTCGGGACGCGACTGCCTACGGCCAGTTTTTGATGGAGATGCACCGGAGGCAGATGGTCACCTTCGCGGCCGACAGCGGTCAGCCGCACACCGTCGGCCTCTTCTTTGTGCCCAAGAAGTCGGGGGCCCTCCGGATAATTTTCGACACGAGGGCCGCCAACTGCAAGTTTTTGGATCCGCCGGCCACGAGGCTTCCTTCTGCAGCGTCCTTCGGCGCTATCGAAGCCCCGGCGGACGGCATGTACCTCTCCACGTGCGACCTGGAGTGCGCCTTCTACCACATGCGGCTGCCGCGCGGGATGGAGACGCTGTTCACCTTGCCGTCGATCTCGGTCGCCGTGCTGCAAGAGCTCGGCATGATCGACCTTGACTTCGATCCTCTCTCGCGCGTGACGCCCATGGTGACCGTCCTCCCGATGGGCTTCTCGTGGGCGTTGCACTTCTGCCAGTCGGCTGCGCGCTCAGTCCTTGCTGATGAGGGCCATAAGAGGACCATGACAGCCATGGACGGTCAAGCTGGTGTTGTAGTCACCGACCCGGTCTCCGTCGGCGTCGGGGCTTACGTCGACAACATCCTGGCGTTCGGTGCTGAGAAGGGCGCGGTCGACCAGGCTATGACACGGCTGGTGGCCGCCTTCCGCGCCCGAGGGCTTCCTGTCCATGAGATCGAGCCCGCCGCGAAGGACCTGGACTTCTTGGGCCTCAGCTTGAAGCACGGGAGGTACCTCCGGATCAAGCCGCGGAACATCTGGCGGCTGCACTCGGCAATCACTGGGCTTCTGAGGCGGGGCTGGTGCAGCGGCCACATGATGCGAGCAGTTCTGGGTCATGTGACATGGTCGTCTATGATTCGCCGAGAGGTCCTCACCGTGCTCCATAGCGTCTACGGCTTCGTGGCGGCGTACGGCGAGAGGCAGGGCAGGATCTGGGCGTCGGCGGCAAAGGAGTTAACCATCATCCGTGACCTCCTGCCCGTCTTGTCCGGCGACCTCGCGTCCGCGTGGCACCCCACGTTGACGGCTAGCGACGCATCGCCCTTCGGACTTGGGGTGATGCGGAGACGCGCGCCTCGCGCCGTCTGCGCCGCCGTCGGCCGTTGCTCGGAGAAGTGGCGGTTCAAGGTCGAGGGCGGGCACCAGGCTCGGCTCCGGTCACTGCGAGAGGGCGGCTTGGAGCGTCCCATCGTTGAGTCAGAAAACGTCGACCCCTCTCGGCCTCACTCTCCAATCGACCCTTCACAGCTCGGTGCTCATCATGTCAGCCCTGCGGGCGGTCAAGCATGTCCGGCGCCGTCGTGTGTCTCGGGAGCTACGCGCACTTCTTTGGGCCTGCAGGGGGACCCCTACGAGGAGCTCGTGGGCCAGCACGGGGACCCCTACAAGGAGCACGTGGGCCTGCACGAGGACCCCTTCATCTCCAAGGGCCAGCACGGGGACCCCCACGTGGAGCTCATGGCAGACAACAGCCTCCCGCGTGCTGATGCCTCTTACGTCGTGGGCGACTCTTGGGACATGGAGGAGGTTCCTGGGCACCTTACCCGCATGGATGCCTGGAAGTCAGTCTCGGCGCAGTCGGTCTCCACGGGGGCCAACATATTGTACTTGGAGGGGGAGGCTCTGGTCACGTCCTATCGGCATCTCCTCCGAGGTCTGGGCGCTCATGGGGCTCGCATGGTCGCCCTCGTGGACAACCTCCCCTTAGCCCTCGCCTGTGCAAAAGGAAGGGCTCGGTCAAAACACTTGAGGTCGTGCCTGAACCAGCTGTGTGCGTTGTCCTTGGCCACTGGCTCGAAGTTGTTCGTCCGCTGGATCGCCTCGGAGCGTAACCCAGCGGACGGCCTCAGTAGAGGCAAGCTCGGCTGGTTCACCGGCCATCGACACCTTGGCCATGCGAGGACCCGCCTCGGTCGTCGCGGCGCTCTGCCTTCTGTTCGGGCTCCTGGCGCGCGAGGCGCAGGCCATGCCGAGGCAGAGGGCCCCTACGCCTTCCGCCCGGACTCGCCGGCGCGCCCAGCTGGCGGCGGCGGCGGCGCACGGGCGGCCGCTGGTGGGCGCCCTGACGCTCTTGGAGCAGCTGGCCGTGAGGCCGAACACGGAGGCCCTGTACCGCCAGCTCCTGCAGACGTTCATCACGTACTGCTACGACCACCGCCGGGACTGGAGCAACCTGCGCGAGCTGGACCGCCTGCTCGCCGAGTACTTCACCTCTCGTTACATCTCGGGGGCGGCGGCGAGCGTCGGATCGCAGACGGTGGCGGCGCTGGCGCACTTCACGCCGGGGCTCCCCAGGCGGGTG